GAGAGAGAGAGAGACTCATTCACACACACACAGCGTGGAGTGTGTGGTCATGACGTCATCACTGGTGACGTCCACACTTCGGAGACTCGGGTTGTCACTGAGTGGAGGTGTCGCCCTCATGCGGTCATCATGAGGTACTGCAAAAATACCATAGACTGTATATATAAAGAGAAAAGTACACAGGGTATTCATTAAGGGGGGGGGGGTGATGAATGAGTTTAACACTGAATCCTACATTTCCCATGATGTGAAAATAAAAATGGAGTAAGCTAACTCTATGTCCATAATGTCCATAATTTTTATTTTTTTTTTTATTTTGTATTTTTATTTTTATCTTGTATTTCCCGTCTACTGCGTAGATGTTGCCTGCCATGTCACAAGAATTTCACTGCTCTGATGACGCTAAGTTATTTGGTGCATGTGACAATAAACTTTGATTTGATTTGATTTGATTTGATAATGTTATTTAAATGATTGTTTATATGTGTAAGAGGGAATCTCAGATCAAATCTACTCGTGAAGGAGTTTTTGTGAAGTTGAGTCCTGCAGTGTAAGTCTAAATTAATTCTTGCTTCAGTAAGAATGAAAGCAGTGTAAACATCCTCTTGTCCTCATCGTGGGAGCGAAGCTGCACGATGATGTAAATGAGTAACTGGTGCAGTTAATAATCAGCTGTGGTTGAGCTGCCTTGTTCCTGTGGCTGCAGCTGCCGTACACTGTAATAACCATAGGTCATAATAACCTGTTCTCCGTGCAGGATGTCTGCGGCGCCTCACTCGATGGCTGCGGTCTGTCAGGTGACGTCCACCCCCGACAAACAGGCCAACTTCTCTGCCTGTAAACGGTTGGCGGAGGAGGCCAAGGAGCGAGGGGCCGGCATGGTCTTCCTGCCCGAGGGCTTCGACTACATCGGATCCAGTCGAGAGGAGACGCTGTCGCTGTCTGAGCCCCTGACAGGAGACACCATCTCCCGATACGCTCAGTTAGCCAGGTACACGACTGTTCCTGAAAAATACAAACATGACTTTAAATATTTGCTTGCAGGTATTTCACATTAGCTTGGGGGTAAATAATTACTCATACACAACCCTCTTGTGTTGATGAAGTGTAAACTGTGACTCTGTCAGACAGTTTTATAGGATGAATGAAAAGTTCAATAATCTTAATAATCTGTGAAGCGAGCATGATGTGGATAATTGATTCTCTCCTTCCAGGAAGCTGGAGGTGTGGCTGTCTCTCGGAGGGTTTCATGAACGAGGACCTGAGTGGGAGAGGGACAGACGAATCTACAACAGTCACATCATAATGAATGATAAAGGTACTGCCTCTACTGTCTCTCACTGTATCACACATACTACTACACTACACTACTACAAATACTCACCCCCCCCCCCCCCCCCCCCCCCCCAGGGGACATTGTGTCCGTCTACAGGAAGTCCCATTTGTTTGATGTGGAGCTGCCAGAAAAAGGTGTGTCCCTCAGAGAAAGTGGCTTCACCATCCCTGGACCCGTCCTCGTGTCTCCGGTGCAAACTCCCATCGGCAAGGTGACGTTTCATTGATCCTTCGTCTCATGCTCCTGCACATGTATTTTTATTTCATGTCTAAAACCTGAATAGAAAAATCATAAATATCACTGTTATCATTTTAAAGTCAGGTTTACTGGTCAGAAACAAATCAGTCGGGCTAAAGGTTCCTGATCCAAACCGTTGTTGATTGATTGATATGAGCCAATATGTTTGAGATGAAGACATTTATTTACAGATTGATTAATAATGCATCGTACATTCTGTTTAATTCAAAAGTAATTCCATTTGTATTTATTTGTTTTGCTCCGTGTTTATCTTGGTTTTCTTGATGTTGTCGTCGTAGCTTGGTTTGGGAATCTGCTACGACCTGAGATTTCCTGAGTTATCTCTGGCCCTGCGGCGGCACGGGGCCGACGTCCTGACGTATCCATCCGCCTTCACTGTAGCCACAGGAGCGGCTCACTGGGAGGTTGGAGTCATAACGAGACAGACAGAAATTCTTTGATACATACGTTTAATCAAACCTATGAAAATGTATTTGAAATGTGTTTACTCCGAGGTGTTACTGCGTGCACGAGCTATCGAGACCCAGTGCTTTGTCTTGGCCGCAGCTCAGGTCGGTCGGCACCACGAGAAGCGCTCGTCGTACGGCCACGCCCTCGCAGTGGACCCCTGGGGCGAGGTGCTGGGCGACTGCGGAGGCGAGAGTCCTGGCATGGTGCTCGTGAAGATCAACCTGGACCAAGTGAGCAGCACTCGGAGAAACATGCCGGTCCAACAGCACCGCAGAGACACGGGCTTCTATCTCAGTCTGGAGTAGGGTTGGGCGGTCATAAGGTAATAAGGTAATAAGGTAGTAAGGTAATAAGGTAGTAAGGTAGTAAGGTAATAAGGTAGTAAGGTAGTAAGGTAGTAAGGTAGTAAGGTAATAAGGTAGTAAGGTATACCGGCGGTGTCTTTCAATAGCCACGGTATCAGTTTCAATACCGTCATTAAAAAAAATTGCACTTGTATAGTCGGCAGTCTGGCAGTATTTCATGTTCTGTGCAAACGAGAAGTGTAAACACTGACGAGGCCATTTGCCCGCTCACTGCTGCGACGATGCATTTGGCCCCGAGTTCACTCAGTGCAACAGTTTCAGCGCCTCCCGCTGATGCAGATGCAGGACCATCAACAACTAAGTCCAGCACCACTCATACACAGCCCACAATAATGGGGGCCTTCGGGAAAACAACGAAGTTCAAAAGGGTGCGTCTGTGCCACAAGCAGGAAAAGTTGTAAGTCCACAACGTTCCCTGTTGAAGCCACCCAGCTCACATTGGCACTGTGTGTGTGTGTTATTTGTTTCTTTTACGTTTTCCACTTTTTAATAAGCTGCTCTATTTTTATTATTCAAAGTTGTTCAGTCTGTGAGTGATGTAATTGAATTGATGTGTGTGCAGTGCATTCGGTGCAAAAACTTTTGTGGATGGTCAGTTTAATTTAATTGTTTAACTCTTGTATTTGCACTCTTTAAGCTGTTGCTAATAAAAGCATGACAGCGCTGATGTGCACGTGTAAATGATATGATCAGTATAAAACATAAAATGTGGAGACGGTATGAAGGTATCAAAATTTGGATACCGCCCAACCCTAGTCTGGAAGAAACGTGACTTCAAGAGAGGAGCAAGTTGAAATGAAAAGAAAACAGGATGTTGTCAGAAGAGAAGATATAAAGTCAAGAACATATTTCAAAAACAGTTTCTGTCTGATAACTGAGAGATTGTTATTCGAGATGAAGGATCCTGCTCGATCAGAAACACCAGAGATGGACGTGATAATAAGTGAAGACCGACTTGATGGAGCTTTTAATCAATATATATTTAAAGGTGTCAATACAATTGTGGGGTCATAGAAGGAGCTGCTTATGAAGGATAATAGTATATATACATATATATATATAATAAAATGACTTAGGTTTGTCTGTAATGTTTCATACAGAAGGTGAAAGGAGGAGCTTCACAATGAACCAGTTTCAGATACTTTATTGATCCTGAGGGAAATAAAAGACTTCATCTGAGTGAAATGATTCCATATATACATCCCTGATTTAATGTGCATCACGTGTCAATATGTCATTAAATACTGTCACCGAGCTTCGTCTGTGTTTGTTCCTTTTCTCAGTCGAAACGTGAGATGACATAATATTTGATTGGGATATATAATATCACTCTGTGGGTAGAAATACCTTTGGTTTGTTTATTTTGGTTGAAACAGTCCAACATCTACAAAGATTACATCTCATAGGAAAGAAGCACGTAGACATTTTGCAGATCAAGAACGAGCAGATGCTTATTGAGAATGGAGAAACAAGTAGATGTACTGCTCTCCGAACAGAAAATACTGTATCTATACACAGTACATATATATATATATATAAAAACTTCATTGATAAATGTGCACAATGAGAAACCATCTAGAACGTTGAGCTCTCTGGTGTTTGGTAGTTTTAGTGGATTTCTCTTTAACTGCTCAAAACCAAATGTCTTCCAGGATGAACAGAGTCCAGAGGTTTGATGAGAGGAGAATCATTAATGAGACGTTTCCTCCATGTTTGATTTGCTATCAGAGGAGGAGAAGAGAGGAGGAGAGGGGGAGAGGAGAGGAGGAGGAGGAGGAGAGGAGGAGGGACACAGGAAGTGCTCGTCACTGCCACAGGAATGGGTCTGAAAACAGAGCACACCGTGATGAGGATGATGATGAGGAGGATGAGGATGAGGAGGAGAGCGTCCAGTCCCCTGTGTTGCAGGAAGTAGATCCTCAGTTCAGCAGAAAGATGAATGTTCGGATCGATGCGTCAGGAAGGTTCGTGGCTGCTGCTGTTAACTCTTCAGAGAGACTGTTCTCCATCCATCACCCGCCATCTGGATATTTACACAAATATCTCTCTGCATAATTATCTTTATATCTAATCATCCATCTATCGCTGTCAAACTCTCCTCTCCCTCTACCGTGCAGCGCTGCTAGCTAGCTTGTAGCCCTGTGTGGTGACTTAGCTTGTGTTAGCCTGGGTTAGCCTATGTTAGCTTGAGGTAGCTAGAGTTAGCTTGTGTTGGCTTGAGTTAGCTTGTGTTAGCCTGGGTTAGCTTGTGTTGGCTTGTGTTAGCCTGAGTTAGCTTGTGTTAGCTGGAGTTAGGTCGTGTTAGCCTGAGTTAGCTTGTCTTGGCTTGAGGTAGCTGGAGTTAGCTTGTGTTAGCCTGAGTTAACTTGTGTTAGCTTGTGTTAGCCTGGGTTAGCTTGTGTTAGCTTGTGTTAGCTGGAGTTGGCTTGTGTTAGCCGGAGTTAGCTCGTGTTAGCCTGAGTTAGCTTGTGTTAGCCTGAGTTAGCTCGTGTTAGCCTGAGTTAGCTCGTGTTAGCCTGAGTTAGCTCGTGTTTGGGACGCTCCGTGGACCCAGGCCTGAAGCTGCATCATGTCTGTCAGAAGAAGAAGAAACACTTTGCTCATTTAATGAGGATCGAAGAAGAAGAAGCTGAATGACGAGCTGCCGTGGGAGAGTTAGCATGTTAGCATGTGTTTATTGTATAGTATTATTATTATTAGTGACCAAATGATCACAGTGTTGTTATCATGTTACAAAAAGTGAAATCATGTATTAATGGATTCAAAACAAAGTGTTGTGCTGACACAGGGTCAGTGAGTGAGGCTCAGTGAGGCTCAGTGAGGCTCAGCTCTGATATTAATGCTAAAGTTTCCATCTTTAAATGAAACAGACTCTTTTCATTAGTGAGGAATCTGTGCTTCGTAGTTCTGTGTCTAAAAGGCCAGGAGTTAATTTGGTCAAAGTAAATATCCAGTGTTCACTACAGATGAAGAAATGTAGAAAAGCAAAGTGAGAGTGAGCAGATTCTGTGTTTGCTGCGTGAAGGACTTAATAAATGAACAGTCATAGAGTTGTTGATTGACTGATCGTCTTAGCGCTGGCAGACAACACGTCGGAGACATTGAGGACAAGGGACACTTGTGTAGACCGAGCCGTGACGCTGTGTTTTATATTTTCACTTTCAATTTAAACTAATGCACATGTCTCTGCATTCCACTGACGAGTGATGGTATTAAATCAATCACATCAGTGGGGGGGAAATGAATAAAGTCCAGTGCTCCTGCAGTGGCTGTGATCATGTGAAACTGTTTATCCACTTTACTATTTATCTCGTTCCCTCCACAAAGTCACAGTAACTAACAAAAACAAGATGTCCTCATCACTTACTCTGGAAAAACAAACTCTCGTTCATTTCCCTCTGTTCGGGTTTGCATTTGTACATTTATGAAGCATGAGGAGCTTTTTGACCAGAGGTCAGTTTTTCCGCTCAGTGTTTAGAGACGGGTCAAACCAAAGGCATCGCAGCCTCCCTTATTTAATTTGCTCTCATCATCGGTGTAATCAGCGCCCTGATTGTGTTATGTTTGTCTGGGGTATTTGATTCCGGTCTGTTAGCCAGGACCTTCAGAGTTTCACTCAGTCGAGACATCTCATTCAAGTGTTTGTCTCTCACACATGACCCAGTCTGTTCATCTGCACGTAGAAGGTCACGTTACATTGTGCCGTCACTGAAGTGCATCTGTTATTAACTTGTAGTCATGGATATTCATTATTTTTCTAGGTAAAAGAATGTTCCCAGACTGGTGTTGGTGTGTATGGATGAAACAGAACACTGACAAGACACACACACACACACACACACACACTTTGAAGGATGTCTAATGGCTGTGTTTCTTTCACTTCTCCGCAGCACATAGAACACGTATAATTCATTCCTCAGCTTTGATTTTGAAAAGTAAAAGTTGTCTTCGGTCAGACCCGTCTGTCCCTGTGAGACGGCAGCACACTGACTGACGCTGTAACGTGAGATCCACAGCACATGTTCTTATTATGTTACTGTTCATTTACCTGTTTTCAGGATTTATCGATAAATCATTCATCATTACTTAATTTCTTGTATAATTTCTCAAAAGTAGAGTTTCGCTGAAAATTAAAAATAGAACTTTATTGAAAACCAGATTGGAAATTGAACAATAAATAATTGGTTTTATGAACTGACTTTCTAACTGTTCCAACATGGATTTGATGAAAAACTCCGGTAAGTGATAATAAGCTTCATTAGTTAATGACATATGTAAAGTTTTTTGCCGTTTGATTCCACACGGTCGTTAGTACAGGAGCACTCGGCCTCAGCAGTTTGTTAGTGACACTGTTACGGTGTTTGTGCTTCCTGTTGTACCACGGATGTCACAAATGTATTGAGCTGTTTGAAGGATGCGTGTGAGCCCGTCGGTTGAAGGGGGGGTAAAACGCTGAATCACATCCCAGCAACGGTCGCCTGGGCAACACCTCCATGGTGACCAGCCGGAGGAAGATAAGGCTCCTTGCCACACAACTAGTTGTGTAACATCAGCAGAGCCCTGCAACATTGTGTTCCCTCGCCGTTATCGCAGCACACTCCTGCCTCGCCTCGGCTTATCCACGTCCTCAAACTGCAAAATGGATTTCATTTTGCAGTTTGCCGTAAAAACTCCTCAGTAATAAACAAATGCTAATCTCCTCTGCATAATTTCTGATGCAAACAATGAGGAGAAAATGAACGAGTGTGCTGCAGCGTGTCGTAATCACAGACATCAGAGGAAGAAGAAAGACAAGTGTTGTTAACAGACTCAGTCTGAAAAGATCACAAACCTTAACATGCATTTTAATTCTCCCTCCAATGAGTCCTGTTAACATGAATCCAGCTGTTTTCACACACGAGCTCCAGATGAATCCAGGGAATCGTCTCCAGGAAACAGTGCCAGGATTAATCACAATCATTTAGATTTTATTGGGGCGTGAAGTGAGATTGTGGCCAAATCGAGATCAAAGTGCATGAATCGGTTACATCACATGTAAAAGTTCTCGGCGTCCATGAGCTGAATTGAATTTCCTGCCTGCGCTGATTTGATATAGCTCAAAGGGAAGTCCTGTCTCGTGGTGAATCGGTGGGATTGTTGCTGCAGGGAAAGTTTCTCTTTGCTTCACATTATGCAGTTTGTGCCGGGGGAGGATTACTCTGGGTCAGTGTCTGTCTGTGCTCGCAGGCCTTTTGTCTTTGGCCAGTCTGTAGTTTTACTGTCATCACACTGTGTCTGAACTCATCTGGTTGAAGTGAACGACTCTCACTGCAACACAACATCTGAAGTACAAGGCTTTGACTGAGACTGTGAGTCTCTGTGGACACGCTGTGTAAAAAGCTCATGGCCGTTGTGTTAGCTGGGAATAAAATATTAATGCAGTCGATGCTTTTTCTTTTTCAGCACTTTACAAATCTGCACCAGAAAATACTTCCCTTCAAAAACTGTTCTTTATTCTCTTTATTCTCTTTATTACCTGAAACACTCCCTCCTCACTTTCTGTGCTCTTTGGATAAAAGGTCCATTTCTCTTTAGAACAACAAATCGAAGGAGCCGACACCTGCTGTTCTTCTTTTTCTTTTCGGAGTCTGGTTTGAGCTACAGATTCTGGTGTAGTTTCCTGCTTCCCCACAAGGGGGTGAGGTTGGAGAGCAGGTGTTGATGGTCTTCTGTCTGTGGTCCAGCACTGTTGTCATCATAGACGTCCAGGATTTTTATCCCTGACTGTCCACATTAATCAGTCTAATGGACGTCCTGTCTCAAACTTGAGTCTGTTACCTCTCAAGTTTGAGAAATGTAGTTCACACTGTTTCTATAGGAGTCCATAAGAAAAGTATCGTACAGCTCACTTCCTTTATAAGGTCAGAAAACGTGAAAAGTCTCAATCATTCGTTTCCAGCACGATGTTCATCTTGTAAATGATGAAGTGTGTTTTGCGTTTGTAGAACTTCAGTCTCATCCATCACAGCTGCTCTGTGTCCGTCTGTCTTTGCTCTTTACCTTAGAGAAACTCTGCACGTTAACAACTAACCCTACTAATCTATTCATAGATGTGTTTCACTCTGTCGACTAAAACCTTCCTCACAAGACGGTGTGTATGTCTCCACCACTCCCCTCCTCCCTCCTTATCATCCAGGGCACCGGCTTGTTGCTAAATGGAGTCGGAGCAGCTGTACCACAGAGGCTACTGCAGGAACAGCTACAACAGCATCGCC